CCAGGGTTGGGCTTTTTCCTAAGAAACAATGTCTGAAGGAATTGGAGGAATTTTAAAAAGTGATGAATTTGGGAGCTCTAATGCAAACCATGAGGAATTGGAGATGTTTGTCCTTCTGACACTGCACTCAGGAATTTTGGTCAATGTCTCTGCTCCTGATGCTCAAAAGGTAATGGACAGAGTCACTGATCGAAATGGGCTTTGGAATTAGGCCCTACATATTCACTGTTACTGAGCTTTTAGAAATAACTAAATCCTTTGTATAAAGACCTTGGAAATATATAAGTGGAAAAACTTAGTTATAAGGTGTTAAAAACAAAACCAAAAAGAATAAAAAAACCACCAAAACCTTGTCAAAAATATTCCAAACAAAACAAACAAACCAACCCCAAACCAAATTAAAACAAACAAACCACCACCAACAAAAAAACCCTACCCAAAACACCATCACACGTCCACACTTGTCATGGTCAGATACATTTACATGTCCCTCTTCATGTGACAAGTGACCCTGACACCTCCAGAGTTATTGTTGTGCATAATCACAAGGGCTGTCTATGTGTGAAATATTTCTATTAATTGCTAGAAATGTCCTAAAACATTGGTTGGGTGCCCAAGGCGAGGAACTCTCTTTCAACTAGCCCTGCCTGTTAGAAATGAATTACCCTTTTCCACTCTAATTATTTCCCAACTTTTGTATCTCTGCAGAGCTTTTTGTACACCTAAACCCCCAGATTGTAGAATTGTAGTATTTATTGATGGATGTTTAGGAAGTACCTGAGCCTCTAATGTTCACAAATCACCAGAGATGAGTTCACCTTTGGGCAGTCAATACAGGAAGGATCTGGCTCAGAGAAAGCCCTGCAGGATTGATTCGGGTTCAGAGGTGTTGCTGGTGTAACCTGAGATCCCCAGCACATGGGGGACATCTGTGCAGACTAACAAATATGATATAGGATGAATGGGAGAGCTGTGTCCTTCTAAAGCAGGTGGTGGAGACCGCATATCATGCACTGAGGCCTCCTAAATCACATCAGGATCTTGTTTCAGCTGCCAAATTGTGCCCTCCATCTCTGGTGGCTGTGATGGAAATTCAGACACGCAGTGAATGTACAAGACTGTGATTAGGTGCCTTTAATCTGTGATCAAACCAGTCTTACCTCACAGTGCACTTGTCCCCCTTCCCTTTCTCCTCTCTCCTCTCTCCAGTGCTCCTTGGGGATCATCCCTTGCCCAGCCCCTGTGAGCCAGGGGGTGAGTGCCAAGGCAGTGCAGCTGGCAGAGCCCTGGGATGCAGAACACCTCTTAGCTGAGCACAGCACCGCAGCACTGCTCCATATTCACCTGTGGCCATGCCACACCCACACCCACACCCACACCCACACCCACACCCATATCCATATCCATATCCATATCCATATCCATATCCATATCCACACACACATCCACCTCCATATCTACACCCACACCCACATCCACATCCATATCCACACACACATCCACCTCCACATCTACAACCACATCCATATCCACATCTACATCTACACCCACACCCACATCCACACCCACCTCCACATCCACCTCCACACCCACAACCACACCCACACCCACCTCCACACCCACACCCACATCCACACCCACATCCACACCCACACCCACATCCACACCCACACCCACATCCACATCCACACCCACACCCACATCCACATCCACACCCACCTGTGGAGTTGTGTTTTTTATGTTTTATTACATTTGTATTATGTATAGGTTTGTTCCATGTAACCCCGGTTCTGTAACGGTTCTCCCCGGGTTTCCCCGCCTTTCCCCCGCATGTCTGTTATCCCCAAAAGTGCTAAGTCATTCACCCTGTGTACCCCAGATGCCTGTCCATCACTCGGTGTCCCTTCCCATCCACCTAGAATCTTCCACCTGGGACGACGGTGATTGGTAAAGGACCTGGGACCCTTCCCCTGTCTATCCTTCATTAGATGTACCCCCGTATCCCACCACCCTCGAACCCCCTGTGGTTTTACCCCATTGGCTGTTCGGTTTTCCCCCGTTCCGTATTTAGTTCATTTGCGTGGTTTGTTCTGGGCTTTCTTCTGGCTGGCTCCAGTGCGCTCCGCCCCGCCCGCGCCGCTCCGGCAAACGCAGACGTGGCACGCCTGGTTCCCTTCAAATTATTGTATTCCCCGTTGGATTACAATAAATGGAATTTGCCCCCCGGAGAAAGACTCTTCATAATTTGCCGTGGGGTCGCTGGCTGCTCTCTGGAACTCCGATAGCGCTTTCCAAAGCCCGCGAGGGTCCAGCGGGAAGCGCTAAAAACCTGCCCACACCTCTCCCCAGAGCTGGCCGGGGCTGAGGAAGGGCGTTGGGGAGAGGAGTGGCAGCACCCACCTCCACACCCACACCCACCTCCACACCCACCTCCACACCCACATCCACACCCAGCTCCACACCCACACCCACACCCACACCCACATCCACACCCACACCCACACCCACATCCACACCCACACCCACACCCACATCCACACCCACATCCACCTCCACACCCACATCCACCTCCACACCCACACCCATATCCACACCCATACCACACCCACACCCACATCCACATCCACACCCACATCCACCTCCACACCCACACCCATATCCACACCCATACCACACCCACACCCACACCCACACCCACATCCACATCCACACCCACATCCACCTCCACACCCACACCCACACCCATCCCACACCCACACCCATCATTCCACAGCCCCACGTCCAGCCGGTGTGAGGCAGATTGCCAGGAGCCTGCCTTCCCAGGAGTGAGGCAGATCCTGCACAGGGCCCCAAATTCAGGTCAGTGGGTGGTGGGAGTTTGCTTTGTTTGCTCCTTTCATACACATGACCATAAAAACTCTCCGCCTCCTCCATAAAATTTTCAGGTTTTTTCCAAATGATTTTTGAGAGCTTTTTCATCCTTTTCTGGCTGCCTACATATTGTAGTTGCTAACCATGAGCCATCCAGTAATGAAGAGGCTTCTCTCACAAAGAGTCTTATTTACTGACTCCTCTTCATCTTCCTTTGAAACTCCAGAGAGAAATCTCTGCTAAAATCCCTACAGAAAAATCCCCACAAGGCAGAGGACAGAGGTGGGAGAGAAGGGACAGCAGATGTGTTTTGCTATTTCTATTAAATGTGTTTCTGTGATTCACAACAGTGAGCTGGTGCCTACATGTGATTGAAGTAAGTTTGCAAACTCTTTGCTCTGGCTGCTGCTCTGCTTCTCCCTTTCATCTTGCTGTTTGTCATATATTCACTTTTGCCTCTTGTCTTTTCTGACATTTTCACTATCTCAGGGGGGCAGCACTGGCACTTTCACACATCACCATAATAGAAATAAAAGCTTGAAAGATCTAGATCTGAGGTGTGCCTATTCCTGGGGCATTGCAATGAGACATCATGAAAGATGTAGTTTGGCTGGATACTCAGGAGATCACAAGAAACCTGGAACCATAGCTCCTGAGAATAACTGAGTTGATGAAAGCAGACAAACATCTCTGCACTTCTTTTTCTGGTGAAAAATCCTGTCAGAAATTGACATTTTTTCTGTACACGTAGTTGAGATGAAATTCTGTTTTCCAGTGGGGAAGTAATATTTTATTTAGGTTTTTTTTTTTTTTTTTTTTTTTTTTAATGAAGAGCTGTGGCCTGTCTAAATTGACACATACTTCACACAATGCAAGTGAAAACACCCCAATGAATCTTTCCAAAGTCCTAAGGAGTTTCAGCTCAGCATGAATTAAAACATGTATATTTGGGTCAGATCCTCCATCAGTCCAGGCTGGGCCAGGTCTGGTACAATCAATTAAACCATATCAGTTTGCATTATAAAATATGTCACAAAATATCATTGTGAGACATACTAAATGCAATTCCAGCCATCAGTGCTGCTGCAGGCATGGTTCAGGGATCACCAGCCGCTTTTGCAGTCTGCACCTGTGTCAGGCAGCAGAGCAGCTCCTGAGTTAACCAGGAGTTAACTCTGTTCTCTCTCATTGCCAGAATAAAAAATAACCAACTGGTGTCACGCATGGGGAGCAATTTCTTCCTGCTTGCAAATCCCATCTGCAGGAGCTAAGGCATTTCCCAAATATTTTACAACCAAGAAATAAAGTATATCAAAACTAATCCAATATATCAAACAATTTTGGATAGCTTTACATGAATATCTGGCTAGTAATCTTCAAGTACTTTAGGGGGAAGAAAGAGAGACCTATTTAGCATGTGCTGATGTGCTGTTGTGACAGTGATGCAGGCAGAAGCCCATTCCCAGATGGAAGAGCTTCAGCAGCTGCATCTCCCAGCACAGTGCCTGGTGATGAATCCCCACCTCCATCCTCAGAGGCAGCTGGCTCAGGATCTGAGTCTGCCAAGGCTGGCTGGGTTTCTCTTAGGTACAGGATGCTCACACACCTGGGGCCCTGCAGCTCTCTCTCCCAGCTGCTGGTACCACCTCAAGGCTTTTAAAAATACCTAAAAATACAATACCCTCACTCTCCAGCTGACAGAAGGGAATTGGCTCTTCAGGTGTTCCTAAAACATCCCCTCAGCACAGGTGTGGGGCAACAGCAGGCTCTGCTGCTGAGGCAGGCAGCAATCACTGTTAAATTTGGGGGGGTTGGCAGCCTGATGTTAGGGCTGCAAGAGCAGGAAAAGGAGCCTGAGCATATTGAACCAGAGACATTCCTCCTGAGCCATGGAAAAATAATAGCTTGACATTTGTGAGTGTCAATAGCAGAGGGACAGCAGAGCACGTGGCTGATCGCTCTGCTCCATGTGTGCACAGCAATCTCCTTCTAATTCCAGCTGCATATGCATTTCCTTCTGATCATAAGGAGTTGACGATAACTTGAAGGAACACACCCACCAAGCCCTCCTATCCCTCCTCAATTTGGTTAATGAGGTAATTAAAAAGATGCATGAATGTCTTGCAAAGAAGGGTTGAATTTTTATGCCACCGTGGCAATATCTTTCCAGAGAAAGGCTATTAGGAAAAAGAGACTGCTAATTATATCTTTGAAAGCAATTTTCACCCCTTTACCTACTCTGAAGAGACTTGAAAATAACATGTATGTACTGAGGAACAGAAATAATCCAGGTTAACACTGTGAGAAATCCTTCCTGTCACAGGAAACTGGTTTTCCATTTTCTGCTGAGATTGTCTCCTCTGTCCTGCATCCAGGAACACCTTCCTCAGAGACAGAGATGATGCTTCCAGCCTTTCTCAGTCCATGGTCCTTCAGGGCAGCAGTGGGACCTGGTCACAGCTTTGTGTCCTGCAGCCTGTACCCCTGTGAGCTGAGTCACCCTGTAGTCAGGCAAGAAAGAAAAATATATAGAAAAACATTGTATTTTAAAAATAAAACCACTGTATTTTAAAAACACTGTATCAGCTTTCTGCAAGTGTCTGAGCTGAAGCATTTATAAGCTGATCTCCTTTTTGTTATTTTTTTTTCTGGATTTTTTTTAGGTGTTTGCTCACTGGGAATAACTTTGTTATGTTTAGTTCCTGACCTGTTAAATTCCTGAAGCATGGAAACAGGAAGATTCCAGCACTGTGGGTATGCAGGAATCAGCACTTTCTGCAGATTAAATTGTCTGCAATGTCACGTTTTGTGTCTACACAGCAACAGGCTTCAGCCCTAAGAAAAATCTCATTGTGTGGGTAGAAGCAAGGCAAGCTGCAGGCATGTGAAGTCATGCGTGTGTCTGGGCAGAGTTTTTTTGTTTCAATCTTTTCTTTTCTCAGCTGTCAGCAGCAAAGGTCACAGAATAAAAGAACACACCTGCAGAAGTTGCCACTTCCACCTCTGACACTCAGACCCCCCTTCCCTGCCCTTCCAGCCCACAGCCCTTTCCCATCGCAGAGGATGCCCCCAGCAGCTCTCCCCTCCCACACAGCAGCCAGAGACAAAAACAATGTCTGAGAGGACAAGGGGGAACAGTTTTGAACTAAAAGAGGAGAGATTTAGATTAGATATTAGGAAAAAATCCTTTCCTGTGAGAGTGTCGGAATCTGTGGTATTGATGATTCCGAGATTGTAAAAGTCTCTGTCTTTCTGCCCCGCTGCCAAAGCAGAAGCCATAATTCATCTGTGCTGGTTTCAGGGTTGTTTATTCTGTTTATCTCTAACATGTTCTGCTGCCCTGCCGCAGCTCTGTCCTGCAGGGCAGCGTGTGGGGCTCTGCCCTCAGTGGGATGTTACAAACATTAAATACCAGAAACTACCTGTGCTGGATTTACAATAATGTGCCAATATCTGTCACCTACGTTGAACAGTGTGTCCCCAGCCTGAACCAACAGAAAAATGCCAACACCACAGTGAAACATGGAGGGCATGAAGAAGGAGAAAAAGGACAGGACACACCAAATTTCCTCCATCTTGTGCCCTTTGGACCCCTTATCTAGAATCCTAAAATTCTACTTTTGCACCCTTGCCACACTAATTATTACTTATATCAAACACTCAAAGCTTGTAATTCATCCTGTAAGATTGAAAACTCTTTTCCATGGACAGAGATCACAGACAGTGTCTCTGGGGGCTCTGTCCAGGGGGGTTCCTCACCCCTGCCAGGGTGCCAGACCTGCCAGGGCAGCCAGAGGGAAGCTCTGGATTCCCACATGAGGGTGGTGAGGTACTAGCACAGGCTGCCCAGAGAAGTTGTCCCCACCCCTGGAAGTGTCCAAGGCCAGGCTGGACAGGGCTTGGAGCAACCTGGGATGGTGGAAGATGTTCCTGCCCATGGCAGGAGGCTGGAACTACATGATATTTAAATTCCCTCCCAGATCACACCCTTCTGCGATTCTATCATGAAATAATCCCCTCTGTGTGCACAGAGGTGGGCATTTGAGCTATGCTTGCTCTTATCTGGTGAATTAGAATTTACTTTACCTTTCCAGAGGGAAATGAATTTGTGTCATCCTGCCCTGGAGCCACGTGAAATGCACAGGAGCTCAGATGATGCGTGAGTCACTGCATCCCTTGACTCAGAGGAGTTTTCCTCACTGGCACTTGAAAAACAAGCACGAGGGGGAGAGGAGAAAGAGAGGGAAAGGTGGAGCCTCTGTGTTTCTCTCAGAACTGAAATTAAAACTGTGCTGTTCTCAAAGGACAGTGATCCTTCCACCCACAGTCTCTTTCCAAAATTTCTGTAGCTCAAAGGATGTCCTCCATCTCTCCTTCACTTCAGAAATGGAAGAAACAATCATGGCAAAAGTCAAGCCCAAATGACAGCTTCCCACAAATATTTTGCCTTGTTTACTGAATTGGCTGAGTGGTTCCACCAAATCACTTAATTGAGGTGATCGTAGGGTTTATTTCAAAGTCTTGAACCAGGTTTTATTTTACATCACATTCAGGTGTTTAATCTGTGATTTGAATCATCCCCTTGTCCTATTTGCTTGTCATGTGTTAGGATGTGTTTGTGCAGCTCCCAGAGCAGAAGTATCCTGATCTTCACTGAGTTCCCAGAAGCTGCAGCTGGAGACCAGTCAGATCTGATAATCAGATTATTACTTCCATATTATCCCTCCTTCAGTGAAACTGTTATTCAGGGATGTTATTCAGCATGTTCATAGCTTCAAAGCTACCCTGGATTAAATTCCTCTCTGGACAAAAAGCTGGTATTTGTGTGATGAGCACACATGAATACAGATGGCAGACACTTTGCTCAGGTGTAACCTCACTTCTGAGAGGTCACATTCCATTGAAGTGCCTCGGGCTTTAGCATCTCCTGACTTTTTCCTTTTGCCTTGGAAAAGGAGCAGGAGGCAGAGTTTGGTCTTTTAGTCTTTGCTTCTCCTTACTGATAAATGTCCCCTGTATTTCCATACTTCAAAGGAATGTTCTTTTGCCATGATGAATAGTCCTTTTAGGCCCAGAATCAATTCAGACCTTTTCCATCCCAGTACTTGAAATTCTTGGGAGGATACTCCAATCTCCATAGTCTTGTTCATTGTTATGCAACTGCACCAGCATTAGAACAGAAATCAATCTTGATTTACATTTTCCTCTTGTCCAGGTGCTCAGAGCAGCAGCTTTTCAATGCTTAGTTAGTGGACTTTGAACTAAATAAATTTTTTGAACTCTTGCTAGTCTACTGACGTAAAGTCTGGAAAATTATTGTAAATTTTGACATGTATCAGCTATGCTCTATATAAAGGCTGTTCCATCCTTTCAAAATACACTCTGATTTTTGGTATTAGTTGCCTTCTCATTTTTATTCTCTCCTCTTTTTTTCCAAATTGTAATTCTACAGCTGCTTAATGAAATAAATTCTTTACCAATTGTTCTTGGCATACACTACAGAAAGGCTCTGAAGTCCTAGAAGAAAGAAGGAACCACACTAAAAATATTTTTAAGGATAATATCTTCCCTGTGCCAACAGGTAAAAGTTATTCAACACAGTAACTATAGAAAAGAAAATAATTTGAAACCCTGTTCATCCTTAGTATTGCCCTGCCATGTTCAGATTGCTATTCCCAAACAAATCCACTCAGATGTGAAAAACACAGGAAAACACATTCAAGTGATTTCTAATTATATTTAGCTGCTATTAATACCTTGAACCTTCTTTGAGCTGGAATTATCCTTGCAGGATATGTTGGAATATCTCTGAGTAAACTCAGCCATCTGTAATGTCAAGGTGCATGAACCAGTCCCTGAATCATTATTCATGGTGCTGGCCCTCAGCCAGGACCTGGAAACTGGGATAATTCTGGGACCCATCAGCAGAAGGCAAGAAATATAAGCAGAAAAAACTATTTTTTGAGGAGTTTAACTCAATTATGGAGAAATACAGCAAAATAGTTCAAATATCTATACATATATGTTTATATATATATATATATATATATATATATATATATATATATATATATGCAGTTTGATTTATAAAACGCAGAGGAAAGAATTTAAAGTTTTAAAAAAATTAAAAGTTTTAAGAAGATAGAAGCTAGTATAAAAGCTACTAGGCCAGTCTGTCTGGGATGAATCTTCTCTGAGCTTTAGAGATTAAACTGTGATGATGTGAAGGTCTCTCTGCATCTGCAGACTGGAACCAGAGCATTCACATGGCTCCAGCTGAAAGGAGACTTTATAAATAAAGCAAACAGCTGTGCAGAATTTCTCACCAGATATTTGTCTTCTGAGGTTTTGTAGCCAACATTATAATGTAATCTGATTTTTTTTAATTATGGGGGTGTAAATGTCTTTTCTTCTAAAGCCTCTTGCCTACAACCTTTTATTTTCATAATTTTTGGCTTTGTTGTGGGTATTTTTAACCTCAGCTGAGAAAGAAGAATGAAGAAAGCATTGTAAGGGCTACTCAAGAGCTACTCCAACAATCTGTCAGGAGCAGTCTGCACTTGGTATTCAGGGTGCTGCTTCTCCATGGCTTTGGCTCTGTGTTCTGCTGGTGGTGCTCCAGAAATTGAGAGGAACAGAGGTATCCAGGGGCATGATTTAATCCATTCTTCAGAAGGCATCTCAGATGGGACAGATGGTTTAATTGCTGATTTTAATTATTTTTTTCATTGACTGAGGTTAAATGTGATGTGGGATACGTGTGACTGGGAGAGGATAAAGGTGGGAGAGAACAGATGGGATTTGTAACCAAGTCTTTTCAAAACTTCTATTCAAAAAAGTGAGAGAAATCAGTGGACCTCACAGCATGCCTGTTGTAGGCATCATCTCAGCCTCCCCCTCAACGTGATTCTCCTCTGTCCTGATTCCAGAATTTCCTCTTGCCCACAATTGCATGATACCCACAGGACATCTTAAACCCTACTGAGAGAGATGGAACTCAAAATGCTTAAGAAATTGCTGGAAGGGAAACAGTCTCCTGTCTAACAGACTGGAGGAATAGAAAATGCAGTTTGTCATGGAACCTCTTGGATCCCTCCCAGGAAAAACCTAAATAAATGTCATTCACTCGTTGAACTGACAAAGTTCAAAGACAATGACTTTTTCTCATTGGCAATTTTCCTTCCTCCCCTTGCCCTGAGACCTGTGGTGACTCCACTCCATTCTAATTTTCTTGTCTTCCCTGAATAATTCCCGTGTAAAGCTGAAAAAGCAGGTTCTTGTCTCATTTTTCTTCAAAACATGAGAAAATAAAGGATAATAAAGAAATTGCAGTGGCTTCAGCTACACACCTTCACATAATTTTGAATTCATCATCTAGAATAAGTTGAGGGGCAAGAACCTGAGAGGGAAATGACTCTTTTATCAGTAATCAAACGAGATCAATTAATCTCTTTTGTTAGTGGAAAGTCTTTAAATTTTAGACCTTTATAATTAGATCCTAAAAAAAGTCAACTTCAAGGCATGTGGCTTGATCCCATCAGATGCTGTTGAGGTGGGTTGGTGATGGGCAATGAGAACATGGGAATGAGGAGCTGGACAAAACTCAAATTTCTCTTCAAGTCTGCCCGGACAAGGATGAGGATGTTTGGAGATATTAGGACATGGCCAACTGTTTGCTGATCTCATCTTTCCTCTGGCTGAGGATTTAAGGGTAAAGCAGCCCTCCAAAATCAGATCTGTACGACACACCAGCATGAACTTAGGAAATTTGTCACTTCAGAAATGTTGCTTTGAGGACCAATTGTGGCAGGACACAGAGTTGGCAGAGCCAGATGATTCTTTGGGTTACAGAGGAATCAAAACTGCTTCTGCAGATTGAAAGGGAGCAGCAATTTAATGTGCTTTGGAAAGATTTATACCCTCTAAAATTCTTTCATTGATAGTCTTCATTGCTATTTAATCAGCAGTTATTAAATATGTTCCAGAAGATTTGCTGAAGGCTGAATATTGCTTTCTTCTCCTTCTTCTGCAATAAATGAGTGAAACATAATAATTTGAGGGTTTGCTTTACTGACAGCATCTCATTGAGAAGAATGATCTGCATATAATGCTGTAAGAAAAGAGAAGAGGAGGCTGAAAGAGCTGACAAACCAATCACCTTTTCTACATTCCTCAGTTTGTGCACTTTTGTCTCTGGTGATTTTTTTGGTTTTTTCCCTCACTTTTGTTGTGGGGTTTGTTTGTTTTTTAGCTAAAAACTGGTCAGGATTTTTTGACATTATTTCATTCATAAAGGTGAGGTGCTTCAATTTAACAATTTAAACATCAGGTGAATTAAGGGAGTTGTTTTGCTCCTTCAGCATCAATAGACAAGGACCTCAGCCCTATTACATGTCCAGTTAAATGAGATAATTCCCAGGTAAATGACAGCTTAACTACACTGGAATGTCTACCTGTATCAGTGGGACAGTAACAGGAGGAGGAGACAATTCCTCTGAGATAAGAGAAATCCATGTAATCCCTATCCCAGTGAACTACAAACTCACTGAAGGCTAAGATGCCCACCTCCAGCTAAGAAGGAAGTATCCCTTTTAGGACAAATGGAGTGAAAATTAAATTTAAATATAGATCACCAAAATTTTTAATAAGATCCTGAAAGAGCATGCCACAGGCTACTTCATATTAATTTTGCTTGAGGCTTACGAACAACTTGAAAACCCCTTCATTTTGTCTCAGTACACAAAGGAAAAAAGTTGTCACACCTCAAACTATGTGTGAACTGAAGAAATCATTGCTGCCCACTTCTGCAGAGAATCTCAAAAGCCAAGTGCGTGCCTGGAACATAAAGCACTGGCTCCATAGTGTGAAACAGTGTCATGGACAGCTGATAGAAACAACCACTTCATGTATCATTTACATTACATAAACATTAGATATTCACAGTGTGGATGTGTGCTGATCATCTCACATCTCAGCTAATAAGCCAAGGATCTCTTCACAGCTGATGGGAAGAAAAAGAGACATTTTTAGGGCACAATTAATTTGCTGTATTTTGCAATGTGCTTTAAAGTGAGATGAAGTGCCTATTTGTCTCTGGTGGGTTTGTGGGAGCCTATGGGGACTCACCCAAGTGTACAAATCTACATTGCAAAAGTCTACAGTCGGTCTGAAAAATCACCTCCTC